TTCCTCCCCAAGTTGGTATTGGTCAGAGTATTTTGTCATAGCAATGGAGAAACAAACTAGGACATAGGGATTAGAATGTGGGAATCTTTGGGAAGCCATTACTCAGTATATTACTTTTTTTGTCATTTGAACAAAATAACTGACATAGTTTAAAAGATAAATTTAGCTTATGGTTTCAGAAGGTTCAGTCTATGACAGTAGTTTAGAAGGTGTGGCAAATGAAGTGGCACCAACAGTAGCAGTGAGAGACTATAGCAGCTGGCTTCTTGCTTGGCAGCAGGACAGGAATCAGACAGAGAGTACTGGCTTGAACCAGAAGTGGATACACCCTTAAAAGGCCTGCCTTTAGTTACCCACAGCTGCCAGTACGTCCCATGTTCCAAAGGTTCTACCACCCCCCAAAACAGCCTTACCAAATGTTCAAGCACATGAACTGCTGAGTTGTATGGTTCACACTCAAACCATAGTATTTGGCCTACTATGCCTTTCTAGGGAGACTTTTAGTTGAGCCTCATGAGGAAGTCCATTGCCTTTAACAGCCAGCCTAGTAGCAAGTATCTAGAGTTCAGCAAATAGCTTATAATATCTGTACTGAAGAAGACTAGTAAGTGGTTTAAAATACATGTTGAATTTAAACAAATGGTAATGATGGGATGTAGATAGTCCTAATATTTTCTATGGTTCTTATTGGGGAAATGATAATTGTTAGTAGATGTTTATGTGTTAGGGTCATGTTATTTTTGAAAGAAAAATAAAAGTGTAACCTATAAAAGTAATGTGTACTTGTTAAAGCAAAATGAAAGAACACAAAAAGATAAGACAAAAAAAGATGGTAGATAGCAATTATTTAGTCACTTACAATTTAAAAACAGAAGTTGTCATATTGTAAAATGTCTAAAACTATTGGCAATAGAAGCATGGGGACCTCAGCAAACTCAGGAGCACTTCGGAAGATTTTTTAATTTTTAATGAAAACAGCAATTCTTAGCATCTTTCAAATACCATATAAGCTATAAATTACTAGTTCAGATCAGCTTCTGGCTTCAGGAATAGATTACACAGGTCAGATCTTTGTAAAGCTGGAATTTTTGCAGTTGATATAACAAAGGAGTAGCACATGAGAATGTGGAACAAGAAATTGAGAGGCAGTTTCCACTGTGATTCCAAGGTTTGAGAAGTTACAAGCCTAGCATCTTAAATAACTAATGGATAAGAAATTTATATTATATTTACATACTTAATAATGGAGCTGTTATATATTTTAGACTAAGAATGTCATTAAGAATTACTGAAACTCTGAGGGCATTATGACCTAAGTTTGGAAGCTTCTGTTATGATCTATCAAAAGTAAAATTGTAATGCAAACAAAAGGGATCGTACACATGTTCAGAAACTGGGCAAATGAATATAAAAGTATGGAAAACAGGGCTGGAGAAATGACTCAGCAATTAGGAGCATTGACTGCTCTTGCTGAGGAGCCTGGTTCGGTTCCCAGCAGCCACATGGTAGCAGACAACCATCTGTAACTCCAGTTCCAGGGGATCCAGTGCAGCTCTTCTGGCCTCCATAAGCAATGCACAACACAGATATACGTATGTATGTGCAAGCAAAACACTCATACACATACAATAAAAAATAACGTTTTTTTTAAAGTATGGAAAACATGCAAAAATAAACCAGTAGTAAAGCTAGCTTGGAAAATGTGGCATTATGACAATACTATCCTTAAATAAATATTGCTGTTTATATTTTAAATTATTTATATATAATTATTTATGGAGATAGCTCAGGTAAAAGCACTTGCTATGCAAGCATGAGGTCTGGAGTTCAGATCCCCAGAAACCTGTGTAGTGCCAGGTAGCTGTGGCAGCCCACTAGTAATTCTAGCCTTTGAAGGTGGAGACAGTGGACCCCCAGAGTAGGCCAGCTAGCAAGACTAGTGAGAGCCACAAGTTCTGGGTTTGATTGAGAGATCCTGCCTCAATGAATAAGTTGGAAAGCAATGGAAGATGATTACTGACATCACCCTCAGGTTTTCATATGCATGCACATACATGCACATGCACTCCACTCATGTGCACTCACACACATGCAGAAACATGCACACACATACATGACACACACACATGAAAAATAGAAAATATACAGTAAAAAATAATTGATGTTTTAGATATTTAATGTGCCATCTTATTTAGTTTTATTTATCTCACAAATAAAGTAGAACATGATGAAAGATTTATTATGAAAAATAGAGATATTTTATTATGAGGGTCGATCTTTCACAAAATACAATGGTTCAAACTTTCATGACATAATATACCCTCAATATATGTAAAATAAGATGGGCATAATGAAAATAGGCAAGTATACAATAAAATGGAATATTTTAACTTGACTCTTTTAGCATCTACTAGAACTAGCAGACCCACAAAAATCAGGAAGTATCTAGAAATACATTGGTCCAAATTCCTCATATGCCTTAATCTACCCCTCATAATTTGAATTAATTAATTGGAGATGTTGAAAGGAAAAGTACTCCAAACAAACAAATAAAAAGAATATTTCCAAAGTCAAAGTAAAATGATTTTTTGTAACAGATATTTCTTCTTGATTACGTATTGTTTGATCCCAAATGCAATTTTATTTCTTTACCTTAATCCTGTTATCCCTTAAAGGGAGATAGCTGGGTCTAGATGTTAAATCAAAACATGTAACAGAAAATATATACTTTCACAAAGGAAAGTACAGTTTTAGTTGTTGAATTTTGTCTCTTTTTTTTCTCCTTGGCAAAAGTAGGGCCTGATAGGACTGGAGAAATGGCTCAGTAGTTAAGAGCACTAACTGCCTTGCAGAGGACTTGGATTTGGTTCCCAGGGCTCACATAACAGCTAACAATTGTAATTCTAGTTACAGGGGCTCCAACACCATTTTCTGGCCTCCACAGACATCACAGGACATGGGTGTGCTTATATACATGCAGACAAAACACTCATACACATAAAATTAAAAATTTTAAAAAAAATTCTTTTTAAAGTGGAGCCTGAGGGCCAGGGAGGAGGCTTGTGGACCAGCAAATCTAAACTATTAAGAGTGATCCAGGTGCTACAGTGAATGCAGTGGGCATGGGATAGATGAAGCCCAAGCACAGGTGCTCTCTGATTGGCCAATATTTGAAACCATGAGCAGGAGTTTTATCTTCAGTAAAAGACAGTTTATTTACTAAAGTTATATTAACATTATATGTTAATTAAGCTACACACACATTGCTTAAGTCAAAATAGCAGGGTTTTTTTTTTAAGCAGATACATTAATTGGAAGAATGTTATGAAAATTACTTTAAAAGCTCATTTCTAAGATACCCACTAAAGCCCACTCCTTTTACCATTTTAAGAATGTTCTTTTTCTTCTTTGTTCACATCTATAAACTGTATTGAAGAAAAAGGGAAGGGGGAATACAAGTTCTTCCCTTAACTATGATATTGCTGTGATCTCAATTTCCAGGTCAGTGCACAGCCCCAGCACGATTTCAGTTTGCCAGACTTATAAATCGAACTGATGAATCCACGTTTCCCATTGGGAGCTCTCTGATGTATGAATGCCGCCCTGGATATTTTAAGAGACGGTTCTCCATTGCCTGCCAACAAAACTCGGTCTGGACAAGTGCTGAAAACATGTGTATACGTGAGTAACTGTTCAGAGGAAGCCCCTTTGTGCTAAATATAGGTAGAGTCTACTTCAGTTTTTCTGAATTTTAGAATTATTATACATATCACTTAAATAACATACAAGGTATACTATGTGTGAGTTATTCTTGTAGATCATATCTTATTACTTTGAGCACCTGCCTTTTCAATTGTAAGTGAAATTTAATGAGGAATGACCACCATGGGACATGAATGAGAGAAAATTCTCCAGTCACTAAGACTGTCCAATTTTCCACAACTGACTAAGTAATTAATGATTCAGAAGCAAAGAAATGTGTATTTAATAACTAAGAGATGAGAAAATTCCAGACTTTAAGACCTATGAATTGTAGTACTTGGATAACATTTTGGTAATAAATAAAGGATACGTGTTTCTGGAGTCACAGTGTGAAGATAAGAAAGAACTTGGATGTGAGTTCTTTAGGAAAGTACTGCTTCCCTGGTGGCTCATACTAAAGCATTCTGGTGAGTTTCCTCAAAGTGACAACATCTGAAATCATTTTAATTTTATATGCTGTCCATAGTAAGTCATAGGTTAGGGCTTCAAATACTAAGAAACGTTCCATTTACTTTACCTGGCTCCAAAACTCTGTTTCTTTCTCATAGGCAAACCATGTAGCACTCCTTCAGATCCTCAAAATGGCATGGTACATGTAAACACAGACACCAAGTTTGGATCCAGTATTAATTATACTTGTAATACAGGGTGAGTTGCAGCAACATCTCTTCGTTAAAGAGTTCTTGAATAGCAATAGTACCTTCTAAGCAGGTCTCGGGAAAGACAAGTAGCCTGTTACTATTTACTTCTGTTTTATTTTATTTAATTTTTTTAGTGCTAGTGATTAAACCCAGACCCTTAAGCCTACTAAGCAAGTGTTCTAGAGCTAAGTCATACCATCAGAATTTTGCCTGATCTTAAAAGGCTTCAACATAAGTATATAACTCTTGACTGAAATGAACAAAAGTATAACAATACTAGGTAGCAAAGATGTTTCCCTGCTGGACAGTCAAGGCAACATATATGTGTTAGTCCACTTTCCATTATTGTGACAAAATAATTGAGATAATGAATTTAAAAGGAGAAAATGTGCATTTTGGTTCATGGTTACAGAAGTCCCAATCCATGTTCACTTGACCCTCTTGGTTTGGGCCTGTGGTGGCATGGACTATTACAGCAGAAATGTAGTAGGGAAAGCCTGTTCGCCTCATAGGGGCCATGAAGCAAAGAGAGGCAGCAAGAGGCCAAGGTTCCAGTATCTTCTTCAGAAGCATACCCCCTAGTATCCTAACTTTATTCCATAAGGTCCCACCTTTTAAAGATTCTACCACATCCCAGTTGGACCATAGGCAAGGGACTAAGTCTTTAACTGATAGGTCTTTTTGAGGGGACATTCCAAACAAAAGCAACATATAAGGAAGTGAGGCACTCATTGGGAGGGAGGGTGCAGTTAAAACACATAGACTTCTGGAATCCAGAATAGATATTTCTAGAAGAAAGGAAAATCAGGGAGCTCTTTGAGAACAAATCTATCTTAAATTCATAGAACTATTACTTTACTAAGGTTACTGTAATGACTAAAACAAACAAAAGAGTGTTTTAAAGCAATAGATATTATTGGAATTCTGTTCTGAATCTAGAAGTCCAAAATCAAGATGGCAAGACCCTGCCTCTTCTGATGTCTTTATTGGGGAGCTTCCTTGTCACTTCCAGCTTCTGGAAGCTCCAGGCCTTCCTAGATGTGTGGAATGGAACTCTGATTTGTGACCGCCTTTTCTCTGTGTCTTTTTTCATATACTGTTCTGTATGTGTTCATGTACAGTGTTCTTTCTCTTTATAGTGACACACTGGTCATGTTGGATTAGGACCCATCCTAAAGGCCTCAATTTCAACTTGATTACATCTGCAGAGACTCTATTTCTAAATGATATCACATGGACAGGGACAGGAGTCTACAACATCGGCATATCATTTAGGGAACACATAGCAGTCTCTAAAAAGCCCCCTTTGGACATGTCTGGTATGAAGTGTTTGCCAAGATGGTGTTCAGTACAGAGTAAATATCACTCTGAATGTTAAGTTAAAGAATACAAACTAAATCTATGTTCTTAACAAGAAACAAAACAATAATTAAATGGTGTATTGGAGTTCAAAAACTTTAAAAAAATTGTTTCTCATTTTTTGTTTGTTAGCCTTAGCCTTTAATGGCTGTGTTGTCCCTCCAGCCCCCCCAAAAATTGTTTTTCAAAGGACACTATCAGGATAACCCACAAGTAGGAAAAATGTTTGCAAATCATAGAATTTATAAAGATGTATCAATATATAAAAACATTATAACTCCAATGAAAAGGCAAATAATTTTAAAATGGCAAAGAATTAAATAGACATTTCTCCAGAGAATGCATTATTGAAAAATAAAAAGATGCTTACTATTTCTAGTCATCAGAAATGCAAATTAAAACCACTTGCGAGGCACCACCTCACACCTATGAAAATATCTACACTCGAAAGGGCAGACAATAGCAGATTTTAATATGATTCTAAAAAAAATCAAAGTTCTCCTACATTGCTGAGCAATAGACCAATCTGTCTAAAGACTCCAGTAATAAACCAACTCATAGCTCCTGTTAGAGTACAAACTCAGAAACACTGGACCAGTGACTGGTGAGGAAATTTATTTGTCTTTTATAGAAACTGGATGTATGCCTATTTGTTTCTTTTCTTTTTTTTTTTTTTTTTTTTTTTTTTGTTTTTTGGAGACAGGGTCTCGCTGTAGCCTCAGCTGGCCTGGAACTCACTATGTAGACCAGACTGGCCTTGAATTCACAGAGATCCACCTGCCTCTGCATCCCAAGTACTGGGACTAAAGGCTAAAGGTGTGCACCATCATGCCCAGCATGTGCCTGTTTTTTTAAGTGCACAAGTACCAATGCATAGGCAAAAGGATCACAGCTAACCAGGAAAACAGACACCACTAAAGATGCTAGATAGAGCAGCAGTAACTGACTTTAGAGATATGGAGCTCGACAGACTACTTAACCAAGAGCTCAAAATAACTTCCTTCAAGTAGGTTGATGCCAAACTCAGGAAAACAAAAAACAAACAAAATGAAAAGTTAACAAGGTGAAACCTAAAGAAGAAGCATAACCATTAGACTTGCTTTATAAGAAGTATTAAGAATTCTTCAAGTTAAAATAAAAGAATGCTAGCATAACAATATGGAAGATAAAACTCACTGTAGAGATAATATAGCCAAATTAAGAAGACTATGTAATGGCAGTACATAAGTTATTTTTAGCTCTAGTATAAAAGTAAAAGGGAACTGTTTTAAAAATAGCTAGTGCTATGATCACAAATGTAGCTCTCAAGCACTGGCTGTTTTTGAAGAAGACCTTGGTTCAAATCCCAGCACCCAAATGGCAGTTAACAACTGTCCATAGCTGTAAATCCAGGGGCTCTGATGCCCTTTTCTACCCTCTGTGAGCTCTGTACAATGTGTGTGCACTTGCATACATGCAAGCATAATACTCATACACATAAAATAAATTTTTTTTAAAAATTCTGTTTAAAGAAACAAAAGTAACTCTCACTTCAAAGGAATGAGATAAATTAAGATAAATTTATTCTAGAGCTAAATATGAATGATCACAGCCCAGTAATACCAATTTAGATTGCCCCATATATGATGTTTCAACACGGTAACAATTATATGAAATTTTTTAAAGATTTTATTATTTTTATTTTATGTGTATGAGTGTATTGCCTGTATATAAGTAGGTGCACCTGTGTCATGCAATGTCCACAGAAGTCAGAAGAAGGCATTGGATTTCCCTAGAACTGGAGTTACAGATTGTTGGTTGTTAGCCACCATGTGGGTGCTGGGAATCAAACCCGGGTGCTCTGTAAGAGCAACCAGTGGTCTTAAATACTGAGCCATCTCTCCAGCCTATTCATGAAGATTTTATAGTAACAGAACAAAGAAAATACTAAATCAAGGAATTTTGAGGTACATTGTTATAAACATTGGGTAGATAGGTTCCAACAAATCAAGGAAATCTATCATAGAACTCAGATGTTATATCTTTAGCCTTTGGGTTGGTGGAAGTTGAGAATCGTTTTGTACATTTTAGAAAGGATTTTACCTGCTAGTCACAAGGATGTTAGGCCAAACACAGAAGTGGACAATAAATAGTATTAACAGGAACCAAACATAGTTGAAGATAATTTGTTCCCAGACATGCAAAATCCCAGCACTCAAGTCACTTAGAGAAGATAATATACACCAAAGAAAGGGTTCTAAGTCCAGCTTGTTGAATCAGTGCCACTCCCTCTGCCATAAACTCCAAGTTCTCCCTACTGTGATGGACTATACCTTTCAAACTGTGAGACAAAATAAACCTCTTTTTGACAAAAAGTTTCTTTTTGTCATATATCTTGTCACTATTATGAGAAAAATAACTAATATGCTACAAAACTCAGAAATTTCCCAGAGAAATTAAAATTTATGTTTTTACCAAATAACTGTTCAGAATATTCATAATGGAATATATACATGCACAGTGACATTGTCTTTGCACTTAAGCAGTTTATAATATCTTTAAAAATCAGACTTAGAGGAACTATAATTTGCCATAGATTGTATCATAGCGTAATAAGGAAGAGAGATCTCATCTAGTTAGAACGGCATGAAGAAGAAAATCAGAAGGTCCAAAGAAGGATCTAAAATTTGGAAAGTCATAAGGCTTTAATAAGTGGAAAATGTCCTAAAGTTTGCAAGATGATAATCTCTGGGAAGCAGCAATATAATCAGGCAGTTATCAGTGTATTTTATAACATGCTTATTCTATTTGTAGATACCGGCTCATTGGTTCCTCCTCTGCTGTATGCATCATCTCAGACCAAACTGTCACTTGGGATAGTGAAACACCTCTTTGTCAGAGTAAGTTAAAATATTACTATTACTTTTACTTATAGATTCAGAGATTTCTTTGTAATTAGATTTTTTCAGGATAGGAATTGAGCCCAGGGCCTCATGCATGCAGTAGTGCTTGGTAATATCACTTGGCTTATATATCTTGTAGTGCTTTACCATAGAGATAGACCTATAGGCCTGTAGATCTATAGGAAAATTTTAAAATATTTACCCAAACTCTTTTTGTACAGCTTGTTCTTCAACTCAATGAAGACAACTGAAATGGAGATCTCATATGTTATTCTTAGCAACTTTCTTTTTTTATTATTATTTTTACTTTATGTGTATGCGTGTATTGCCTGCATATAGGTAAGTGCACCTGTGTAGTACAATGCCCACGGAGGACAGAAGAGGCTGTCAGATCCTTGGAACTGGAGTTACAGACAGTTGTTAGCTGCCATATGGGTGCTGGGATTTGAACCTGGGTCTTCTGTAAGAGCAGTTAGTGCTCTTAACCACTGAGCCATCTCTCCAGCCCCAGCAACTTTCTTTAAATTCTCTTTTGTCCTGGGATGTTTCTTTTTTAAATCTAATTTATGTGTATGAAAGCCTTCTTTTTCTCAGTAAGAAAAAAAAAGTCCAGTTAGAAAATAGCTAAAGATATTCTATTGGTTTCTTAGGGCTGCCATGACAAAAATATCTAAAACTTGGTTGATTTAGAATAACATATTTATTCTCTTAGAGTTATGGAAGCTAAAAGTAGAAATCAAGGTGTTTACAGAGGTAGCTCCTACTGGAGGGTCTGAGGGAAAATATATCTTGGGCTTTTCTTCTACCTTCTGGTAGTTAATAGCAATTCTTAGTATCACTTGGCTTATAGATAAAGTACTCTAGTCTCTGCCCTTCCATAGATGTCATCCCTCTCTGCAAGTCTCTCTGTCTGTATTCTGTCTTCTAAGGCTAATAATCACCTAACTAGGGCCCACCAATATGGCTTATTCAACTCTATAATACCTATGAGGACTCTGTTTCCAAATAAGATCATAATCTGAAATCATAGGTAGACATAAATTTGGGGGTACGATATTCAAAGTTCATTATAGACATTACATTGAGGAAGAGTTTCTGGAGAACTCACCAGGCTGGGCCAATGTGGGAGCTGCTTGACTCAAGCTAGGCCTGGGAGTGGAGAGCTGGTGGCAGGAGTAGACAAAGTTCTGACTAACTTACCAGACTGGGCTGTTATACAAGTTGTACAACCCAAGAAAATGGATGTTTCTCTAAAGTAGACCACATACTGGGACACAAAACTAATATCAGTATACCAAAAATTGAAATAACTCTATGTGTCCTATGTGACCATAATACAATAAAAATTAAAATCAACAGTGCAGATTTTTTTTTAAAGAATTCAATGTGAACTTTTCATTGCCTCTTTTTTTATAATAGTAAAAATTTTAAAGTAGCCTAGATGTACTACATGTTTTAAACTATGGTTTGAAAATAATCCATTGAAAGGAAATGTGTTGAAATTAACTATCTATCTATCTATCTATCTATCTATCTATCTATCAATCGTCTACCTATCTATCTATATCTATATCTATTTTGGTCTTTTTGAGACAGGGTCTCCCTATAGCCCCAGCTGTCCTGGACCTCACTATGTAGACCAGGCTGGCCTTGAACTTACAGAGACCCGCCTGCCTCTGCCTCCCAAATGCTGGGACTAAAGGCATGTACTACTACGCCTGGCAGAAATTAGCAGGATTTTTTTTTTTTTTTTTTTTTTTTTTTGTCTTTTTGAGACACGGTCTCCCAGTAGCCCCAGCTGTCCTGGAACTCACTATGTAGACCAGGCTGGCCTCGAACTCACAGAGATCTGCCTGCCTCTGCCTCCCGAGTATTGGGACTAAAGGTGTGCACCACCATGCCCAGCTTGAAATTAACTTCTAAAAATTTTGTAAGGAATATAATAAAGTCACAATGCAGAATTACAAAAAGTATATACATATTCTGCAATGTTACTCAGCCATAGGAAAAAAAAAAAAAGACAATGTTCTTCTTGGCTTTTCTGGTCCTTATGATGTCATTTGAAAGAATTCAGATGAAACCCCCAAAGCATAGTACAGAAGACAGGTAGAGTTTAGTGCAGAATAGAGGATAGCGCACTCCAAAGAGGCCATTGTACTGATCTACAATTCAGACTTTATTTCTAAATTCTGTAGAACAAGGAGCTTTTCCTGAGGAACTTTGTCCTTTCCAAGTAGTTGACAGGCCTATTTGGTTGGACTCTACAGAGGAGACAATGGTATGTCCTTGTTCTTTAGCAGAAAGTCTTCTGCTAAACTTCTGCTTAGAAGTTTTAGAGCTTCTAAGCAAGGTTTAAGTAATTTTCAATTAATGACCTTCTGAGCAGTTCAGGATATCGGTTTCTTCGCAGGGCCAGAGATATGACTCAGGTCATATCTAGGAATTAGAGCTCTACGATTCTAGTCCTTGGCTTTATAAGCTGTTGACTGTTGAGGGAGGAGTCAGCCCTACTTTTCTGTAATCCTATTAATGTTTAGCTACTTTACAGTAGCATAGAAAAACACTTCAATGGCATAAAAAGTTATACATTTTATGTAAACAAATAAGATGTCAGAATGCATGTATGTTAAGATATCTTCAGTCCCCAAAAGCTAGAGGAGAACTTAATACCCACTTTTAGCTGGTTAGTAGGATGTGTCCTGGAGAAGATGGTTTCCTGGTCCTATGAGTTGCTCTAGGTCTGTAAACTAATTCAGCCTCTTTTGCAGTGATTCAGGGGAGACGTTTGCTTATTAGACCTACATTTCCTGCTTACACTGTCATCAAGTAGGTGATGACCATCTCTGCAGTCAAATCATTCTAATTAATGTTTCAAGGGCATAATACTGACTCTGTCATACTGTTTAAAATGGTTTGCATTTTCCTGACTTCTGATAACTCTTCATATACTTGTAAAGTGTCTACTCAAACCTTACAGGCATTATTTACAGCTCATTATTTTATAGAAGTTTTTACATATTCTCATATTTCTAATAAATAAACATATATGTTTTCTTTAAGTCTTAAGTCCTTCTTTTTGCTTCCTTTTGATAATAGAAGTTCTACATATTAATAACATTATCTTATTTTCCCCTTCTAGTTATTGATTTTTCTGTCAAGAAATCTTTACCTATTATGACAGTTTCCCCATTCTATACTCCTAGAAACTTTTTTGTTTCCTCTTTCATGTTTAGCTTCATCTTGAATTTATTTTTATGTGTGGAGTGGCATATAGTCAAGGTGTTTTAGGTTTTGTTTGTTTTCCTGGTGGATAGTCAATTGATCTTATACCATTCATTATAATAAAAAAGCCATTCTTGGGGCTGAGGCTATAGCTCAAGATTGAAGCATTTACATCTCATGCAAGAGGCCCTGAGTTCAGTCCCCAGCATCCACAAAAAATAGAAACAAAAAAACCCCACCAAAACATTGTTCTTTGTATCTGCAATACAGTAACATCATGGATACAAGTTGAGTGATCTTACATGTTGGTCTTCTTTCAGACAGGTTCTATTTTCTTGATTTATTTATATTATTTTAATTATTATAATATTAAGACAATCTCTGGTGGCATCTATCTTTTTTTTTTCTTTGATTGATTGATTGACTGATTGATTTTTATGGGGCTTTTGGCTACTCTAACATTCCCTCCTCTGAAGAGGTAACCCTAAAATCTTTTAAGGATTAGATACAAGCTCCCAAATACTTTCAACATTTTTGGCCTTTGGAACAGAGTATGTTGCTAAGAGGCCCAAGGACATTTTGACTTTTAGCCAAGAAACTGGCTACTTTTCTTTGGGGTCTTTTTACCCTGACTGCCAAGCCAATTCCTACCTCCTATTCTTATCCCATCGTCCTCTGAAGAGGTTACCCAAACTGCCAATAGGGAATAGGGATGCAGATCACTTTGGCTTCTTCCATGCTGAACAAGGATACAGGGTGAGGCAATTGGAGTACCCCCTTCAGTGGATCTATCTAAAAGACTTCCAAATTCCTTATCTCTAAGGGGAAAAGAAAGTCCTTGAATTGTGAATAAGAGATGTGAAGGAGAAGCAAAGGCAAGAGTAATTAGCATTACAAGTTCTAGACAGGGAACTAGAAAAAGTCAGAACAGGACAGTGTTCAAATGTTCATATGAGTCCACTGGAATTTCTTGACAAGGGCTTCCAAAATTTGCATCCTTCTATTGGGTTCCTCCTCATTTTTCTTTTGTCTTCCAAGGCTGGACTCTAGAGTGATAGACTCCGGGTTTGCTTTCAGGTATTTTGATAGCTGTTGGGGTGGTTAGAATCAGTGTCAGTTCCCTCTCAAAGGCTTCGAGATAACTGAGGGGTTGCTGAGGTGTATGTATGACCTGAGGATATGCACGCTGGGAAGCCTTTACCCAACATGGGTCATGCTGTCTCTTCTTAGCCTTTCCCAGATTGTATACTTTAGCCCTCCCCAAATCCGGGAGGCCATTTGTGATTAGGGTCAAATTACATACAGTTAGCTGGGAAGAGTGGCTGGATAATCCAGTGAGGGTCCAATGGCCCTGTTTGGCCCTCCTTTAATGAATGAGCACAACCATCAACAAGCCCAATTGTGTCGATGTTTAGTGATCAGGCTCAGCTGAAGTCATGATGATGGTAGTTATTTCATGCAGAAGGAACTGCTGTAAAGCATCATCTTATTAAAAGGACCTGGAATTTAAAAGGATTTGGTGTTAGGATCCACATATGAGGGAGAACATACGTGGTTTGTTTTTCTGAGTCTGTGCTCTTCACTTAGTGTAACAGTTTCGAGATCCATCCATTTACCTGCAAATTTCATTATTTCATCTTTCTTTACTGCTGAATAGAACTCCATTGTGTAAATATACCACATTTTTGTTAACCACTTGTCAGTTGAGGGACACTTAGGTTGCTTCCATCTCTTAGCTATTGTGAAAAGAGCAGCAACAAACATGGTTGTACAAG